ATGAAGAGGTGTCCTATCAATCACAAGTTCAGTATGGAGTACCACAAGGTTCAGTACTAGGACCGCTGCTATTCACTCTGTACATGCTACCATTAGGCGATATCATTAGGAAGCAAGGCATTCATTTTCACGTATGCCGATGATACGCAGCTCTCAGAGATTCTAATTATTGGACAAAAAACGTCCTTGTGTAATATCTTAGAAATACAGTCTAACACTGATGGCTGCTCTCTCAAGTCTTCATTGTCGGTTAGGAAACTGGGTGTGCTCCTAGATACCAACCTTTCATTTGAAAGTCACGTGAATAGTATCTGTAAAACCACTTGTTTTTTTCCATCTTAAAAATATATCATAATTATATGCTCTCATTGACAAATGCGGAAAAGTTAGTTCATGCATTCATGACATCTAGGCTAGATTAATATAATGCTCTACTGGGTGGTTGCCCTGCACGCTTAATAAACAAATTACAAAACGCAGAAGCTCGAGGTCTTACCACAACCTGGAAGTATGACCATATTAGCCCAGTCTTGTCAACACTGCATTGGCTCCCTATTAAACATCATATACATTTTTAATTATTGCTGATTACTTACAAAGCCTTAAATGGTTTAGCTCCCCAGTACTTGAGCGAGCTCTTAACGCATTATATTCCTTCACATCTATTGCGATCTCTAAACTCTGGCCAGATGATAATACCTAGAATATCAAAATCGACTACTGGCGGTACATCATAAGAAGAATGGCATCTACGCTAATTTTAGTCTGTTTGTTTATCCCGAGGTTTACCACATTCCACCAGATCCAGGCCGTATCCAGATCTGATGAAGGACCTGCGCCTAGAAATGACGACAACGCAGTCCTGAAGTGTCAACAAGTGACATCTTCCTGTGAGGGCGTTTCTCCCTTTACCTCTATATAGATAATCTGGCCTCTAGTTCATAAACGCCAAAGGGGAACTGGCCCCCGACTGAGCCTGGGTCCTCACAAGGGTTTTTTTTTTCTCCAATGGGTCACCTGATGGAGTTTTAGGACACCATTAGGTCACTTGATGGAGTTTTTTGTTTTCCTTGCCACTGTTGCCTTTGGCTTGCTCAGTTGGGGATATTGAAATTAATGAACCAATCAGTAATACCATTGTTCAGCTCTACCAAACGTAGATGTTTTTCCACTAAGGGACTGTTCGTTATTAGGGGCCACCGGAGGAGATTTGAGATCTGTAGTCAAAAAAGACTTGACCCTCCCCTCGCCAGCAATATTTTTTTCTATGACCCTCCAAAATGATTGTGAAAAAAGGCATGACCCCCCCGATAATTTATTGATTACTTTCTCTACTGGTTTGCTCATGGCAAAGATGTTCAGATAGCCATGATAAATGACTAAACTCCTACTTTCTCATCTTCATCCCTAAGAAACGAACATTGTTTTTATGTTTTGATTGATACTGTGAAGCTGCTTTGATGCAATCTATGTTGTGAAATGCGCAATATAAATATAAATATACTTGACTTGATGATCGTTATCGGGATAATTACGGTTCACGTGGCTACACAAAGTAGTTTGTTGAGGGTTGGTTTTTTAGGTAAGGACTACATGCCTGTGCACATATATTAAAATGTGCATAACTATAGAATTAACTCTTAACAACGCATGTGCAAGCTATCAGCGTTCTCACAATTTCTCAATTTTTCACGTCTTAAGAGTTTTCAACCCGATCTCACGACCAAGTCGTACGAATTCGACGAATGATTAAAAAGTGGCTAATTCGTAACAATTCATACAACCTCACTCGTACGAATTAATACGATTTTGCTAAATCGTACATATTTTACGAATTGGCCAATTCGTATGAATTCGTACAAATGACCTACCCCTTACCCCGCCCCTAAACCTAACCATCACGTGGGTTTAGACAAATCGTACAAATTAGTACCAGTGAGGTCGTACGAATTAGTACGAATTAGACACTTTTTAATCATGCGTCGAATTCGTACGAATTGGTCTTGAGATAGTGTTGGAGTTTTCTGTTAAAACGGTTATGTTAGCGGCCCAGACCCCTAAGTTAATAACTACTGATCGTTGCGACGGAAGAGAATCATTCAAAACTAACTTCAACTGGAAAATAACTTTATTCTATATAACTTTATTCTATCCAAAACAAACTGTCACTTCAATTTATTATTTAACTATTATCACTGTAAAGCTGCTTTGAAACAATCTACATTGTTAAAAACACTATATAAACAAAGATGATTTGACTTGACTGATTTATACAAGTATGAATTAGTCAGTCGTATGTGTCACAGTCTTCGTCTGCACCATCCTGTCTGCGTCATCAGCACTACACTTCCCAGAATCCTTTCGTCTGCACACCTGAACTCACTCCCTCATCAGCCTCCTGTTCAGCGTCCTGTTCATCTGTATCACCTGTCTTCACCTCATTATGTCTGATTATTCCATGTATTTAGTTCCCTCTGTTTCATTCTGTGGTTGTCGGTCAATGTGAATGTTACTCTGTGTTCTACCTGCATGTCTTCGGATTATTTATATTAAACCTTTGTATTGGAGCTCTTTGGAATACGCCTGTTCTTCTGCCTGCACCCACCCCGTGACAGTATGGTTCCATGGATGTATTTATAAAGATGCAGCCCACATTGTTATATGTTAATATATTATAGTAATGACTTTTTAGCAGTTCAGATTTATGTTTGTCAAATAAGTGAATATTTTGTTATTAACAGCTGTTTTGTGTTCTTATAAATACTTATTGTGAGTGTCAATACAGTTACTAACTTCTATAAATGCATCACTGATGGCTTTAAGTAAAGTAAAAACATAGGATGCAATTTTCCTAAAGCAAGGGATGCTCCACTTTTTTTAATGGAATAGACTCATTTTACAACTCCCCCAGAGTTAAACAGTTGAGTTTTACCGTTTTCGAATTTTTAGAAGAATGTCAGTAACCAGACAGTTTCTGGTCTCATTGACTTCCATAGTATTTTTTTTTTTTCCTACTATGGAAGTCAATGAGACCAGAAACTGTCTGGTTACTGATTTTCTTCTAAATCAGCTGAATGGATTCGAAAACGGTAAAAGTCAACTGTTTAACTTTGGGGGAGTTGTAAAATGAGCCTTTTTTTTTAATTTTATTTTTTTAAAAGTAGAGTATCCCTTTAAGAAATCATAAGGATGTGCATAATATGCGTTTCACATTGTTTACTTGTAAATGTAACTAATGAACAACTCCTGTAACAAAATATTGGGGAAAAACTGAAATCATTAATACAAACAGTTGGGAAAAAAATGTCACATACAAGCAAACAATGTTTATTAAAGTATAATTCCAATACCATGATTATGGCTGAGGAGATAATCCTTCATGACCAATAATGCAAACATTAGCTATTAAATACATAATTGATAAATAATTAGTACACCAAACAGTTGTCTCTGGAACTATTTTATATTTGATCATGTATAAATCAGTTAATTATGGATTATGAGCATGCACATTGAAAAATGTAAATGTAAAGTATAAAAATGTATACACCCTTGTGGATGACAGTGTCATCACTGTTTTCCTTGTAAAGAAAGAAAGTAAATGTAAAATGCATTTATTTTACAAAAGCTTATTAGTATTTAAAAATATATAATGTAATGCCCATTAAAGAACATATTATTTTGAGTTTAGTTATCATTTTGTTTATTTTTTTTTAGTAATGTTTTATAAGAGTTTAACAATGGTTCAGTGAGCTTTAGCCACAGAAGACCGGTTCAGCAGCACGTGGTCAGATGTAATCTAACCACACGATAACTATGAAAAAAAAGCTGTGCATACCCGTTCCTCTGTGCTTATTTATTGACCTGCACATTGGTAGCTTTAGTGGTTATTCATAAATCAAAAGTAAATCCTCCTGACACTGCTGAGCACTAAGCGCCCTGGCAATGAGCATAACCTCTAATGTATATTGACTATTTCACTGTTAGTACACACCATAAGAGCTGTAAATAGACTTATGTTTGGTCACCTTGTTCTCAGAGGGGAGACTTTAGCTAACAAATAACACTGACCGATACAGCATATCTGTTTAGATGAACTAACATTGTCAAATTCATAACTTCTATACAGCACTAGAATAGAGGCCACGCACACACTGCAGCTAAATTACGTTTACACTGTCAGTTGTTGAGATTGACAACAGTGTTTACTTATGAGTGTGAGTTGTGAAATGTCCCGTTCGCACAGCAACTTACAGTAATGTCTTTATGAATGTGCAGCCAGAGTAAAGCCTTTCTCTCTTATGCAACGTCCATAAAACTGAAAAGGCTTATCACGTTTAACACAACAGTCCAATCGAGGCATAAATGTATCTGTCAAATCTTTATTGACCAACAGCAGCATTTATATGTTAAATGTAAATGTATTTCTGAGTGTAGTGGATCATTTGAGTCACACATATAACACAAAACTGACAGGAGCAACAGTGACTGGAGCAATATTATGGTTCTATGAATATGCAAATTAGTACTTGTAATTTCAAGGTCTGAAACAAGGTTTGAAATAAATTGTGATGATTAAAGTCCCCCTGTGGTGAAAATCAAGCTTTTTAAATGTTGCTTATATGTCTATGTGGTGTTTTTAATATGCTTTAAGACAAACTATTCACAAATTCATAAGTCAACACCATTTCTGAGTATTTTCTCTATTTAAAACTGCAGTGAACCAAAGACAGTCTCAAAAATGTGCTGGTGTTTCTGATGTCATAAACTACCTTGTACCCAATCAGGTCAACGTGTGATCGTCAACGAGTGGAGCTCTGGGGTGCGTTTCCCAAAAGCATCGTTAGCCAACTATGGTCGTAAGTTGCTCGCAATTTCCATTGAACTCTATTGGAAAACGACGGAACTTGCGACCATAGTTGGCTAACCATGCATTTGGGAAACGCACCCCTGAGCTGGTGTGAGGCGGGGCTAATTTGCATATCATGCAAATGACCTGCTTGATGTAATCAAAAAAAAAGTTGCATTGGAATGCTTTGCTGTATGTGAACATTAATAGGAATAAAAAAGCTCTATTTTTATTTACTATATTTACCAATTCTAAGTGTTGTGAAGACATGGAATAACATTGTTGTGAGGAAAAGAGTTTCATCTACAAAACTGTTGAGAACTTCTTGGGCTATACAGGTACTTGCTTGAAGCATCACCAACTGTATAAAAAACAGCATGCGGATTTATTAGATTGTATATCGTCAAGAAAAGTACATTTGAGCAGATAAGTTCATAGAGCTTTGCATAGAAAATAGACACAAATTCAAAGCAGGGGGAATTAAAAAAATTATAAAAGGAATTAAAGGAGATAAATTATATAGTTCCTTAACCATTATTACATGTATCTAGATAAGAACTAAACCGAGTTGGACAATGATATCACTGCTTTCTCCAGCTTCTTCATTACTGAATTAAATGTTTCATAATTGATTACCTTTACACAATGACCCAAACTAAATGAACAATGAACTGACTTCAGCTGAACAATGACACTGTTGTCTTTTTAGAGTTGCTTTACATCAGAATTCTGTTCACATCAATGATCAATCTTTTCCTTTTTTATCACTGTAGAGCAGCTGCTTTGACATGATCTTTATTAAGCACTATATAAATAAAGGTGACATGACTTGAAAAGTGTTTTGCATTACAACATGAACACAATAAGTACATTATTCCTAACAATTGCTTTTTAATGGGTAAAGCCACCTAAAATTAAATGTAACCCAAAAAAAATGCCTTGCCTGCCATGGACAGAGATGTTAGAGTCATTGTGCAGTCACAACATGACTATTCCTCTCTTTGAGGATTTGCTCATCTGTTTGGTCTAGTGATACTGGAGACGATACAGCATGATAATGGCACTATTTCACGCTTATTCTCTCACCGCAGGCTGTGTCTGAGCATATCTCACCCCAATCCATATTTTATCATGATAATACAGATCCAGTACCTCTAGGCTATGATGGTTCGGTGCCTGAGTTTACTTAGGTCCTACGGGATCATTGCATTTACACATCAATGCACTTAAAGGGGTCATATAATGGTACATACACTTTTACAAGTTGATTGTACTGAAATGTGTGTTGGCAGTGCCTGTACACACCATCATATAAGGAGATTAAAACAAAAACACTTTATCATTATATGTTTTCCCCTGCCTCAAAATATGCCGTTCCTCCTACGATTGACAGCAGGGTTTCGACACAGACCCTGAGTGAGATGTCATCACAGTCCGCCATTGTTGATACACTGGAGCAGATTGGCGTCTAAGGCCCTGTCCACACTACTGCGTTTTCATTTAAAAACGGAAAATTAAAACAAATACGATCTCCGTCCACACCAGCGTTTTATCTGCGTATTAGAATTGATCTCCATCTACATTAAAACGACTGAAAACGCAGATCACGTGACCATGCACCAACACTGGGCATGCGCGTGCCGGTGTAAACGGTGGCTGACGAATCAGTGAAGGACACATCATGACTGATGACACCCAATCATAGAGCCGAGCGTGAGCCGCTACGTCATCATTTCTAAACTCCTCCGTCTTGTCCCGTAGTCACTAAAACTCCCTCTGGATTCAAAACGCAAAACGGAGCTGCAGCGTTTCTAAACTTCTCCATTTTAGGTCTTCGTTTTTTCTGTTTTAGTCTGGACGGGAGGTGCAAATGTAGCAAAAACGTTTTTAAACGAAAACACAGTGGTGTGGACGGGGCCTAAGCGACTGTGGTGTTCTGTTCTTGGGTGTAAAATACCTAAATCCAAAACGCTGAAGACACAGTGGCTGAGTTTTGTTTTTAAAGGGAATATTCCCCACAAGCAACGTCAGTGCTTTCATTTTTGCACAAATCTTTTCTCACCAGACTGCTTTATAAACGAGGATCAGTATTAAGCTGGTTTTGCTAAGAAGCTGCTCCTGAAAAAAAAAAATCGGTACCAACTTTTCATGTTCCTGCTGCACCTCCTGAAGAAGGGAGTGTGTGATGGATCTGCCATGTGCTTTGGCAAATCACATCTCAAAAAAAATAGTCCATTGCCACAAACCAGGGAGCAAAGTAGTCTTCACTTGTGATGTTTATTAAATCTTGCTTACACAAGATAAAAAGTGATCAAGCCTCATTTGAGAGGAAAAAGGTGAAAAAAATTGTAACAGTTAAAAACAAGAAAGTCCAAAAATTATGTTCCATTCAGATTACATCACACGAAAAAGCCAGTGTTCAAATTGGACATAGTTGGGCTTGAGCCTCTCAAACTGACAGAGGACAAAATTCAACACAACCTTTCCCAGGGTACATTAAGTATCAACCCCTCTAAACAAACATACACTGAATTTATAAGAGGTGGCCATCACCATGAAACCAAAGAAGGGGGAAACATTGCCATACAAAATTTCACAACAATAACAACCCAAACCCTGGAATCAAAACAATACATTTAACTAAATTTAGAGCCAAGGATAAATTATAGTTAATGCAAAAGAATCATATTAAACAAACATCACATTGATCAAGACATCACATTTTCCTATGTCCCCTCTAATACATCAGAGTTGGTACGGTTTAATTTCCTTTAGTATTCCCATAAAACAGATCAACTTCCTGTTTGAATCTCTTTGTCACCAGGCTGGGCCATGCCACAACACAACAGGTACTAAACATTTGAAGTCATCTTCATTACAAAATGAAACGTTTAAGCTATGTTTTTATAGATCACATTTTAGCCAAAAATGAATTTTAGCGGGTTTTGTTTTAATCTTAAGTCAAATAAGCCCGTACACTGACTCAATACAATGACAAATAAAGATCTTAAACCAAACCATAGTAATGTCCTTTTATTTATCACCAAATTGTGTGGCTTAAATACTGGCCATCACATATCCCCCCACCCAAGATCTCACACTGGTAAGCGAGAGAGGAAGTCAGCAGTCGTGTTACTTTTCCCGGGCACATGCTGGATGTTAAACTTATAAGGCTGCATTGAAAGGTACCAGCGGGTAATTCTTGCATTGGTATCCCGCATTCTGTCCATCCACTGCAATGGTCGATGATCAGTTTCAATGGTAAACTCTCTATCAAGAAGGTAGTACCTGAAGGCATCTAAAGCCCACTTTACCGCCAGGCACTCCTTTTCAACGGTCGAATACCGTACCTCCCTTGGATACAGCTTCCTACTGACGTATGCCACTGGATGTCTATTGTCTGACCCACCCTGAAGGAGTACTGCACCTATACCAATATCCGAGGCATCAGTCTGCAACACAAATGGCTCTTCAAAATTAGGGCAATAAAGCACTGGCTCTTCACATACAGCAGCCTTTATGTCCTGGAACGCTTCCATTGCTTCCTCTGTCCAGCAAATCTGATTAGGGCAATTCTTTCGAGTCAAATCAGTCAGGGGCGCCACACGAGCAGAAAAGTTCGGTACAAATCTTCTGTACCAACCCGCCATCCCTAAGAATGATCTGATCTGAGATTTTGTCTCTGGCAGAGAGCAGTTTTGGATAGCCTCAATCTTTTGAAGCTGGGGCTTAATGACTCCCTTACCGACTACATACCCCAGATACTCCGTTTCCTTTTTAGCTAAAGCACACTTAGAAGAGTTGATGGTGAGACCCGCCTCCTGAATACGATGGAACACCTGCTTCAGATGTTGGAGATGTTGCTCCCAGGATGAACTATACACAATAATGTCATCCAAATATGCAGCTGCGTAATCAGAAAGGCCAGACAACACAAGATCCATTAGCCTCTGAAATGTAGCGGGAGCCCCATGTAGCCCAAAAGGCAAAACAGAAAAATGGTAGAGCCCCCAGGGAGTGCGAAATGCAGTCAGTTCTTTTGACTGGGCAGTCAAGGGGACTTGCCAATAACCTTTACATAGGTCAATAGTTATCCATTTAGCTTGGCCTAGACGATCAATCAGTTCATCAATCCTGGGTGTTGGATAGGAGTCGAATCTAGAAACAGAATTAAGATAACGTAAGTCCACACAAAAACGGAGACTGCCATCCTTCTTTGGAACCAACACCACAGGACTACACCAATCACTTCGAGAAGGTTCAATGATGTTCATAGTCAACATTTGATCCAATTCCTCTTTTAGAGAGGTCAAGAGCCGTTCAGGCACACGATAACTCCTTCGTCGAGGTACTGCTCCATCACAAAGTACTATGTCATGCTGAACCAGACTAGTTCTTCCAGGAATCTCTTTAAACACCTCTGGGCTACAGAGCCCTTGAATGTCTGCCTGTTGGTGTAATGACAGATGCTGAAGGTCCAAAGTAACATTAGAAGGAATAGGCAGATACTGTTCACAAACCTCCTCTTCATCTTCCACTCGGCGAAGCATTAGGACCTCCACTCCAGTATCTGATCTCTCATGCCATGCTTTTAATAAGTTTATATGGAGTACCTGTTTAGATCGGCTCTGCCCTGGTAAGGCAATCTCGTAGGTGGTAGACCCCAACTTCCGAATCACATCAAAAGGTCCTGGCCATTTATCCAGTAGTTTACTGTTGTCAGTAGGCAGCATCACCAATACCTTGGCTCCTGGCTGAAAACTCCTGGCTCTGGCCTTTTTGTCATACCAGGTTCGCTGTTGACTTTGAGATTCGATCAAATTCCTGTGAGCAAGTTGTGTCATACTCTCAAGCCTTTCTCTCATTTGGAGGACATAGGAAACAACACTCTGAGAGCCAGTGATTCTGTGTCCACCTTTCCAAGTTTCCTCCAGAAGGGCCAGGGGTCCTCGGACGTCTCGACCATACAGAAGTTCAAAAGGGGAAAACCCCAAGGAAGCCTGTGGTACTTCCCTGTATGCAAATAAAAGATAAGGGAGCCATTGGTCCCAATCGGCCCCAGTATCATTAACAAATTTGCTTAGCATTTGCTTAAGGGTCTGGTTGAATCTTTCAACCAGCCCATCAGTCTGTGGATGGTAGGGTGTAGTCCTTATGCCCTTTATCCCTAACAACTGATATACTTGCTTTAATAGTTTAGACATAAAGTTGGACCCCTGATCAGTCACTATGGCCCTAGGGAAACCCACTCTAGCAAACAGCTGAACGAGGCAAAGAGCTACATTCTTGGCTGTTACTTTCTTTAGGGGAAAGACCTCTGGATACCTAGTGGCATAATCATTGATTACCAACATGTACCGG